AAGGGCCCGGAAAAAGACTAATTATAATAAAGTAAAAATCAAAATCAACAAGCAACTATAAACCAGAGACATACTACGGGGGCAGGGAGGAGAAGGGAGTAGGATCAAAACAAGGGTGGTGGGAATTGTGTGGGGACTATAACCAAGATGGAAATGCATACATTGTGCAAAAATGAAAAATGATGTAAAAAATATATAAAATTAAAAAAATAAAGAAGGCTGTCACCTTCCCTGCAGAACTATGTCATAAGGAGCAAAACCATCTAGTAGAAGAATAAAAAAGCAAACAAAACAAAAAAAAAAAAGAAGGGCTTTTAACAGCCCTGAACTTTCTGCAAACTACTGGCAAAATTGGGCGGCAGACACAAAGGATTGAAGTGGAGAGAAAGAAGATTCTAGATAGTGGGGACAAGACTATTATTTTCTGTTCTCAGTTTGTGCCCCCGACCCGAATTGCTAGAACAGCATCTGTGGGGTGCTCTGCCTCCTGCTCCTCAGGCTGTATGTAGTATGATAAGTCACATGCATTCAGCTGAGCACCAGGGCTCTGCCACCGTCACACAGAGGTTGAAAGCAGCACAGGGCATCTCTGAGGGCCACTCTCCACCCACAGCTGCTATCACTGTGCCCTACCTGTGGCTTCAGACTGAGCTGAGGCTGAATCCTGACAAGGCACTTCTCTCCCTGGCCTCACCTAGAAAATGAAAGATGGGGCTACCTTGTTTCTAAAGCCCATTTCAGTTCTAAGATCCTAGGAGTTTGAAACTGCTTATTATTACAGTTTGTGACAGTCAACAATCACCTATTTTCTCAGGTTCTTTTTAGATTCTTTATTCTGAACATTACTGTCAAAATAGGAAGAATTTTTATAGTGCTATGTACCAAATTTGCTTAAACAAAAAAAGTTTTAATGGTAGATTTTTAAAGGAATCATATAAATTTTTTTAGTATATTAAATGCAGGTTAGATAATGAGTCTAAAACACGCCATCAGTTTCTCAAAATCATTTTAAGAACAAAATTTCCTATAATTAGTTACAAAAATATTGCAAAGAACTGAACCAAAATAAAACCAAACAAATCAGCTACTAAACTACACATATGTCCTCAAAATCTAATGGGAGTCAAATATTCCAGTAAAAATAACAGAAGAGATGGAAACACAAGTTTCTGATTATCACACTTCATATGTTATAAAACATAACAGCTAACTTATTTTTGGCAAAATGATTAGGGATTGCAACACTCTGGCTTACACAAACTTATTTGATTGTCAAATGCATCTTAAATGGAGCGTGTCATGCTGACTTCAGGCATGCAGGCACTGCAGCCTTTGAGTAGCCCAGAGACACCGAAATTTCAACACTTCAGCGGGGATCACACCACCAATATTAACTGGGCCAGGTGTTTAAAGCGGGGGAGGCTTCAACACTGTAGTTAATTGAAACCAGATAAAGCCTTTGGATGATAAAAAAAATCATACAGATGGTCACCCTTCTCCCTGGGTGACCTTTATGGACAATTTATTGTGTGCATTATTTTCTAGAATACACCCTTTTTAAGAAAATGCAGTTTCACATGTTTCTCTGAAAACTTTGTAATCACAGTATGAATTATGTCACCATAAGCAGACTAGGTTAAGTTTGTATTTCATCTCCCCCCGATTTTCACCACTATTCCTGCAAGGGCAAGAACACCTGAAAGTGGAGCAATGATCAGAAAGGTATGAGGCTGAAGACGCCATAACAAGTTACATAACCTAAGATGCCTGTCTGTCTTTCCCAATAGACGCGGTGGACACAAGCCAAAAAAGAGATGGTTCAAAGAAAATGTGGTGAACAACTGCTTTCAAAGATGTGCAGAGACCCTAGACATTACATGCAGGGTGGACATGAAGCAAACAAAAAAACCAGAGGACTGATGTGTGATTAAGTTAATAAACCGTGACGGGTTCAGAACTGGGTATTTTCTTCCCTATGTTTCCAGAACAGGGTATGAGACTTCTTCACAGAAACTGACACACACGCACATCTCTGTGTCTGTATCTCGATACATAGAGGGAGATTTTTATAGGAATTGGCTCACGAGATTATGGAGGCCAAAAAGTTCCACAATATGCTGTCTGCCAGCTGGAGGACCAGGAGAGCCCGTGGTTTAACTTAGTCTGAGCTTGACGTCCTGAGAACTGGGAGTTGGTGGTGTAATTCCCAGTCTGAGGCTGAAGGCCTAAGAACTGGGGGTGCTGCTGGTATAAGCCCAGAGTGCAAAGTCTACGAATCAGGAGTACCTAGGCCCCGCCACAGGAAAGGATGGGTCACCCAATTCAAGAAGAGAGAAAGAATTTGCCCTTCCTCTATATTTTTGTTGTCTGTGTCCACCACTTTGGTGAGGGGGGATCTTTTTCACACCGTCTGCTGATTCAAATGCTCATCTCCCCTGGAACCACCGTCACAGACACACTCAGAAGCGTTTCACCAGCTATCTGGGTAGGGCTTAGCCCATTCAAGTTGACACATAAAATTAACCATCACAAACAATAATGCTATTATTTCAGTAGGCCGATGCTTTTTTTAAAAAAAATATTTTAAAAACGCCTGGAACAACTAAAGGCCAAAAATTGTACTTCATATCAGTTTCCTATATTTTTTGACAGAGCCAAGTCACTTCCCATATCAGAATATAAATTGGTGTTTAATTTATATATTTATGTTTATACGTGATGTAATACAACCCAAGTGAAACCCTGACTGTGGTGGTGGTGGGGACAGGCAGCTTCTGACATGGACCCCAGTGATCCTCGCCTTCTACTATTCATGCTCCAGGGTCACTCACTCCCCCAAGTGTGGATCGGACCTACTGATTTGCTGCTAAGAAACAAAAGTCTTGCCAACAGACTCCTTCTCTTGCTCTTCTCCCACACTTGCTCTGATTAGGCTCCTAGACAGGAACTGAGGGTGGCCTCCACCCCACTGCTGGGGATGAACCAAGACCCTCAGTCCAACTACCCTTGAGGAGCTGAGTCCTGCCGACATCTATGGTGTGAGCTTGCGCATTCAAATCTTCAGAGGCGACCACAGCCCTGAGTCACCGTGACTACAGTCTTTTGAGAACCCTGAAGCAGAGGACCAGAGAAATCATGACCAGATTGCAGACCCACAGTAAGTGTGAGAGAAAAGGTACTAGGGTATACTGTTAAGTTTTGGGGCAATGTGTTACACAGCAGTAGATAATAGCTAACTAATAATTGAGCCAGTGACAATTACCTTCCATTACAGCTAACACTTACATGGAACTTTTAAGTTGTATGCACTACTCTTAATTCTTCATATAATTCCTCTCACAAAAATCTTTTCTAAATATCTCACTATCCCCAATTTTCAGATGAGGAAACTGAAGTACAGACTCAGTAACTTGTCCAAGGTCACACAGGCAAAGTAGGACAGCAAGTATTTGAACCAGCACTAGGGTTCACTGCGTCTGTGCTGACAGAATCATCATGTGGCAGAGCTGGACACCGTAAAGATGGTGACCTTAAAACAGTGCCACAGGAGATTTAGGGGCATAAAAATGATCAGAAGACATGAAAAATGCTAAAAACAAAAATAAAGTCTACTCTTGGATTAAGATACTTTATCTAGGGTTGGGGAGAGAGAAGAAGCAATAATACAGTGAATGGAATGTCATCTTGAATTTATTCATGCTTAGAAATGAAAAATGTATTTTCTTATATCCAATAGGAGGAAATTAACGATCTCCATTTGGTATTAAAAACCACACCCAGGGAGGATATAGTTGTACTTTTTCCAAGGGCAATTATGAGTAAGAAGTACATGTGACAAGCTGGTAGGGAAATGAGCAAATTCCTAGTGAGCTCCAAGACTCCAGCGGAGATATTTGATCACACAGTGAGAAAAGCCCAAATACTAAGACAGATTCCATAGAGGAATCACCTCCAATCCCACATTCAGATGGTCAGGCTACCCAGCACCCCCTCAACTCCCCCATGCCCTGGGCTTACATCAGACAGTAGATATCACACCTGTGGGTTGCTCCGTCTCCTCTAGAGACCTGGCTGTCTTACCTCAAAGATGATTTTATCCACTGGAATGTCCTCAAAGCACAGCATAGGGCTTGACACATGGCAAGTGTTTAACATATGTTTGTTGCATAAAGAAACATTATATCGTGAATCACATCCATTCAATGGATCATTTTTGATGGTGTATGTTAGTGACAGTATGAGGTTCTGCTTTGTTTTCAAGCGCAGTTCACCAGCTTTCTGGGCACTTTTAATAGGTCTCTGCTTCTCCAGCATCTCGCCTACTATAAGGCACACCTTGGCACCCAGTAAGTACTTGTGAATGACTGAATGTTGCAATAAGGCTGCCCAGCCACAGAACAGCAGATAAGGATGGAGACTTAAGACTTATGAAAGATCTGGTTTTCTACAAAGACAGTTTTTGCCTATCACTGATGATAAGGCCAATTAATCTTCCTTTTGAAAGGAGGTGATAATATTTGCAAAATATTCTCCCAACCAAGACAGCTTCTTGTCTAGGTCTTAGCTGATGACTGCCCTTAAGTATTCCTTTATAAAAGGCAGCAAGTTATATGTAACGTCAGTACTCCAGAAAACCTTAGATTAAAAGGCATTCCTCTAGGGCCTCCCTTGGTGGCGCAGCGGTTGAGCGCTGGGCTGCGAGGCTGCCTGTAGCCTCTGCAGCACCGGTTCATTCCCCAGCTGCCGGCGAGGGTCCCACCAAAAAAAAGGCATTCCTCTAGAAGATTCCTATCTCCCTCAGCATCGTTCTTTGACATTATGGGAATTTCATGACTACACAAGGAGACCTAAGTAAAATGGAGAGGATAAAAACAGCCGCCAACTATACCCTCTCTGTTTGACTGATCAATTAAACAAGAGAAAAAGAGGGAAGAAAAGCTGTGGAGGATTTGTACAGGTGCATACGCAAGGCCCTGCCGTCGCTCCCTGAGCATACTTACTGGAAGTTCAGGGGCAAGCTTCAAAATCTGGAGGCTCATATAGCAGCCTATTGAATGACCAATGAGCACAAGTTTCATGTCCTTGGGCACATGAGTCCTCAGGAAAGCCAGTTTATGTTCTACTTGACCACAGAGTCCATAGACGTCTTTAACTTCTTGAGCATTGGGATCTAAAAGCAAAAATATGAGCATGTTTTCACCCAGTAATTACTGGGGAAAATATCCAAAGGAATAGCAACAATAATAACAGTCACCATTTATTTGAAGTCTACAATGTGCCACCTCTGATGTTATGCACTTTATTTAAACTGCATCAGTCAGGTTTCACAACAACCCTAAAAAGCAGCATTTTTATCTTTGTTCTCTCAATAAAACCCACAAAGCTCACAGACTTTAGGTGATAGACTCAGAGTCACGTAGTAAATGGGACAAGTGCTATTTAAATCCAGGTCTCCCTATTCTCAAAACCCATAAACTTTCCACTACCCCGTGTTAGCTCAGGCCAATAGTATTCAAATTTGAGCACGCACTAACTTTGTAGGAAATGGTATTGCTGGTCCCAGGCCTACATATCAAGAACCACTAGGTAGGCCAAGTTACATTCCTTGAAAGACAGTCAAGAAAATCCATTACTCTGCTTCACTTGTTTGGATAATCTGTTTGTTTGTTTAAAGAACTCAGACTGAAAGACTTAAGTAGAAATGTTGTGAACTGTTCTATTTACCCAGCACAGTCCTGGCCTGAAATATCCTATCTTCCTTTCACAAATGAACTGTCCTCTAGATTCTTTAAGATCTAATTATAACTTGAGCTCATCTTCAAGAAAAAGGAATAAGCCTTCCTTTGTGCTTAACCAGTACTCAACTCAGTAACACTTGATCCCGCTTGAGTAACTGTTTCCTCTTAGGCTGAAAGCACCTCCAAGGCAAGGTCCATCTTTTTACCTCCACGTCCCCTGTGGTTAGCACACAGGAAGTATTATCATTGAGTGAAAACATGGACTAACAAGATGATCTCTGAGGATGCTGCCAGCTCTAACATTTTACGACTATAGGAAACTTCAACAGATTTTCCCTATGAAAATATATACACGACCCCAAAGACTGGGTGGGCGGAGTACTTCAAAATATCACAAGGTTAACTACCTAAAATTTGAATCACGGGAATACTCAATTTCTTGCCTTCAAAACACCTGCATGGTATTGATACAAACTATGTGGCTCATTTCAAAGGCATGGAAAACTCACAAAGGACTGCGCTTCAGTTTGTCAGTTCGTGCTGGAATTGTTTTTTCTTCAATAGTTAGCTCCTTTCCTCAGTCTGGCTAATTCCTCTCCATCCTTCAAATTCTCGACAAGTGTGATCTCCTCTGAGACATCATTTCATGACTCAGTAGGTAAAGTTTCCACAACAACCCACTTTTATCCCACCACACTGCTCCCAACATACTCCTACACAGTTCTCTCTTGCTTCTCTCTCTCCCCAGTGCTGGCACACAGTTACTCAGAGCTTTTTCCTGACCAGTGAGGCTTAGTTCCCTATTTCTGTGGCATTGCTGATGTCCCAGGCTTGTCATGTTCTGCCTTGGCCTATGACTCATTCTTCATTTTAACAAATTAAGCATACATGGAACTGGGAGGAAACAGGATCTGGAAATCAGCCTTCCGTAGGGCTCCAGAGGCTCCAAATTAATAGTATAGTTAAGTGTGTGCAGTTTATATCCTGCAACTCTCAACATATCTTCTCTGATGTCGCCACCTTAAAGAGCTCCTATTGCTCTGTGGTACTCAAAAACAACCATCTGTAATATTTGCAACCCAAGCTCTTTATTTCTCAAAACACACGTGAAAATGTTGAACTCCTCTGTTCACGAAACAATGTGGCATTGTACAAAGATCCTGGGTGTTGGACACAGATCCGTCTGGGTATAAATCTCAGCTTAGCACCTCACTTTGTAACTCGGGCAAGACCTTTAACCTGGCTTCAGTTTCTTCAGATAACACAGAGATAACAATGCTAGCCTCCTAGGGATGTTGTTTGTGCAGCACTTCAGAGAACACAGCACAAAGTGTTTTGTGTGATCTGTTTGAGAAATGAAAGCTATGACTGGTACCATTTCAATTCCTGTCTTTTAAGCCCTCACAAATACATACATACCAAGGACATTTAAATAGTGAGAGCAAAGAGAAAGAAAAATAGCTAGATGTAATGAACATTTTTAAAACATTAGAAATAAGGTAATAAAACATTATGTTTCAGATGAACTTTAATGACCATTGTAATTCAAATGAATATCCAAAAGGATATTTGAGATAAATCTGGCTTTAAACCTCTGGGAATTGCTCAGATGATTTTCAAGATCAATGCTCAACATGTTAAGAGTTTAGTGAAGTATGAGATTAATGGGTAAAGTACCTCCATAAATAAATAATCAATGATAGAGAAAATTTACATGTCTATTTGGACATTTTACCAGCAAAACCTAGAGGATAAGAGACTATATATACTTGACTCTATATTTTTATTGCTATTTAAAAAAATATACTTTGAAATAATGCCAGGAATCATTAACTTACTATCCATAAGATATAGCAAAAATTGCATTCAATTGTATCCAAATCAGAAGAATGATAAAATGGAAATGATTTCCAGCATTCTCTCTACAGGAAAAATGTTCTACAAGTTATAATTAACTAAGTGCATTTAGACATGATCTGTTTTTCAATTATGAACTGCTGAGTTGATAGATCGCAATCCAAATCACCATATTTTTACCAATATATATGGTCCTGCACATGACACTGACATGTCTTTAGAAACTGTCCTATTCCTTCGATCCATCTCTGTGGAATTTAAAAAAGGCAAAAAAGAAAAACCCGTCACTATGGAATACACACTGTAGCTCGTTTATTGATTCTAGTTGATTTCAAAAGGTACATATAATCTGCTCCTAAGTAGCTCACAGAGGAAGCATAATGTCAGAGCTCCACATTTACTTTTTATCTAGTTGTTTAAATTGATCAATTCATTTACTAGAACTTTGACACTTTTGGACTGAAATATTATGTAGCCCTTACAACTTCAATACACGGGTGAGTCTGAGAACTATAATTTTCTTCTATTTCATAAGAACTAAGTTGACAGCACTCTGACAGAAAACAGTGACTATCTCGTGACAGTGAAAATATAGATGCAAATACAATTTGCTCCCTTTGTCTTCAAGTTGTTCAGTCTAAAAACAGGAAACGTATTTTTTAAAAACCCACAATTATAAAACACAAAAATATATTTCAAATATTTCTTTGAGAAAAGAACAAGAGTTTAATGGATTACAACAGAAAGGTAAAGTCCCTTTGGATTCATAAAAGAACTGTGCTCATCTCTAAGTAACCTTAGTAATCTAGAAAAATATTCTTCACGACATTACTATAAATGCATAAATGTAACAATGGATTTGAACGTAAGCGTAACAGTCTAACACATACATGTCTGGGTCTAACCAGTGACACGCTGAATATAAAGGAATACATCTAAGCATATATTTTCACACAAGCAGAGTTGATGAGTCATCTATGACCACAAACTAAAAAGGCTGGAGGACAGTGCCACATAAGCCTTCTGCTAGCAGTGAGTTGACAAAGTAATGAAATCTCATATCAGAAGTTTCTTAACTAGTAAACTCTTCCATCCTGTCCCTATCATTACTTCAAAGCTACAGCTTAATAACTTCAATTAAACAACTTACATGTGGAGATTAAAAGGCTAAAAACAGCACTTCATATTTTAAAAAATGCTCTGAACAAGATGAATATACAGTATACTCCTTAAGATTTAAAAATATACAAAACAATATCATGTTTTTCATCATTAAATATGTAACCAAAAACATAAGAATACTTCATAAACAAAGTCTTTCCTCTAATTCATGATAGCAGAACTGAAGATGGGAATACAAAGAACATGGAAATTTTTTTTGTATAGTTTTATTTTACAAAAACACTGAACACATTATGGCAAAGTGTTAACTACCCATTGTGAGGATGCAGAGAATCTTGAACTATTACACAATTGTTCAAACTTTGCCATATTTAGAAACATTTTTTAAAATATTTTTTTTCAAAATGAGGAATGCTTTGAGATGCTGCTCCTAGAATCAATATTTCAGGGGCAACCACCATTCACCTCTTCATTACTCCCACGGAATACAAAAGTCCCAAAGGACTCTGGCCAGGTTCACGTTACACATTAGTAAAGCAGCAGATGAGACCCACGTCACCGATCCAAAGGACTTCCTTTCACAACTGTCCAGGTTTACTAAGCTGATGAGAAAGCACACTCAATTTAGGCCTCACCTGTCCTCAGCTCCCTGAGCATTTCTGTACACTCCCTCTTGCTAAACACTGGTGCAGTTCTGGCAACCTTCAAGGTATGCAACCAACAGTGAGGGGACAGGAGGCGGGCACTCTATGATTCTATTTAAAACTTCCATCTTCCTTAAATACAAAACTATAAACCTAAACATACGCTTTATAAAGTAATTCTTAATGATTTTTCTCCAAACAGATGGTGAAAACCAAAGCTGTCAAGTTATTCTTTCTACTTGACTAAAACCAATAATCTATGAAGGATTTCAATGGGAGAAGCATGGGAAGTGAGGTGGAGGGGAAGGAGGGGTGGGGTCAACAAGGAGAACATAATGTTACAGCAAATGACAAAAACAAAAGGCATGAAAGTGCGAGGTGTTTTTTTGGACACAGCTGGGAGTTATGTGGCTATTTGTGGTTATAAGGGGAGGCGGAACAAGTTTAGAAAGGAAGGTTGATGCTAGATCGTTAGGATGCTAAACATCTTCAGGGAGTCTGGTCTCCATGTGCGAGCAGGGAGAAGCTAGCCAAGGCCAGGAGGGGGGATATCAGCCTGTCTAGAAGGTGTTAACGACAGAGCTGTGCTCCATCATCCTGCTGGGCTTCTTACTTCTGTCTTCTCTGAGACACTTAACAACGTGCTTGAATCCCAACTTCTATTCTGCTCTGCCCTTTGCTTTTCTGCTTCTGCCCGCCTACTTAGAGACTTGATTGTTTATTTCCAGTGGCTGTGAGCTGAAGACTTGATTTTCTGATTGTCCCTGCCCTCCACTCTCCCAGTCTTTCCATTTTACCACCGTGTTCCT